AGAATTTATTAAAGAATAAAAAATTCAACAAAAAAGCAGCAAGTGATTCAAAAGATTTCTATTTTATGTAGATGATTTAAACTTCGTTTGGGAACGAATAAAAAATTGTGTTTAATTTCTATTCAATAAATATATTCATTTATTAGTTCATTAATCGATTAGTTTTATATTTTTTATAAATATATGTAAAAGAATTTTTATCGATATGATAAATTTTATTTCGTTATTTTTATAGTCAATTGCTGTTTAATAATAATATTCTTTTTTTTTCTTCTACTATCTTTATAATAGAAATGGATTACAGGAACATTATTTGACACTTAAATCACGAAGGAGAATTTAATAGGAATATAATTTATATTTAACTTTTATTGAAGACAATTTTGAAAAACAGAAGAACCCTAATATGAATTTTGTTTAGATGTAAATATCATTAAAGGTTTTTATTTCAGAAGCAGAAAGGGGTAGCGCTTCAGTCTTCACTTCTCTTCTTATTTTCGAACCTATAAACTTCTATTTGAAGATAAATAATTTAATCGAAAATTTTCTAATGGATACGATCTAAACTATAAAATAATTTTAATAAAAAAGAAAAATTTATAAAAGAGAATGAATAGAGATAACCATATTGTTCATAGAAATGAAATATAATTGCATTGCTGATTCAACAGGCATGAACATGACTTTCTCGAGATATTCAATATCCAAAAAAAAAGAAAGCAGAAGTTGATAATATGAGGACAAAATAATCGAATTTACTTGGAAATTGAATATCTTGATAAGGACATGATCGTTTTCGTTGGAGGTTTCATAAATGTTCAATGACTATGAAAAATGTCTATAGACAATATTTCAGATTAAATCTTTATTGAAAAACTTTTTCTCAAAAAATATAGAACGAAAATATTTGTTTTAAATTAGTAAAATGATCATAATATTGTATTACATTTATACATTTTGAAGTATTCTATTTTTAGATGATAGTTTTAATCTTCCTCTACAAAATTACATATTTCGATAAATCTTTTTCTATTATATCAGAATATATTCATTTATTGTTTCACATTTTCGCGTTGATCTTGTTTGTTATAATCTTCAATATTTTGTTCTTCAGCAAAATTTAATTCTATAAATAATCGTTTTTGATTAATCAGACAAATAAGGTAGAAGAAGTTGAGGTCCAAGTATTGAAGCATATGGATAGAATTGTTCAATAACATGTGTTTGATCTTTTTTTTTATTTCTTGTTGTTTATGAAAATCATCTAGATTAATTAATCTTCATCAATAGACGTTTTCAATTTTGAAGAATCAATTTGAATTTTTTTTTGTTTTCTGAGTTTTCACTAAAATATTTATATATAAAAATAATTCTAAAAAGAAATAAGAAAAAATGATTCATTTATGCATCTAAATCAAAATCTCCATCTATTGTCGAATGAAATTTATTTTGATCTTCTTTTTATTGTTCTTATTCGTGATCAATTATTTCTGAAACTCTTCGATCTGTTTCATTTGTTTGTGATAATAAATATCTTTTATACCATATATCACTTAAAAGTTTTAAATCACGTAAAAATTTCATATCATAATTATTAAAATCGACTAGAAATCGAAGTTGTTTTTTTTTACTAAATAAATTAATCCTATTTATTATATTTACACTCTAATTGTAATGCGTTGAGTGCATTGAATGTATTTATTGGATGTAAATGTATATAGTTTTGTTGTTGTGCTTCTTTATTTAAGTGAATTAATGCCCAATGGCCTATTAATACATCACCTTTATACTTATCGTGATTAACAAAAAAAGAAAGAAAAAAAGAAGAAAAAGGAATAACAAAAAGAGAGAAAAAGAGAAGAGGGATAAAACAACAAACCAAAAGGACAAACACCAGACAATGGACAATAGACAACAGAAAACGAACAACCGACAACAGACAACAAAAAGTAGAGCATAGACAATATACACAAACGATAGACAATAGAAGGAGGGGGACTGGAACTTCAAGAAGAAGAGGGAAGGACTTATGGCGGGACACCACCAACGCCTCCAGCCAGCCTAGGTTTATACGCTAGGAACAAATTATAGAAAAGAATGGGGATGAGACCAGAGAAGAGATACCTCATTATTAGGGATCTCACTGTATATAGTTTTTAATTATTGTCATCTCTATCAATGATTCGTTTGAGACGATCAAGTTTCAGAACATGATTAAGTAATTGAGAAAGATCAGTTGCTGTTATACATAAGTTTTTTTCTAAATTATTTTGTACATGACTTTTTTTTAGTAAAGCATTTTCTTGTGATTTAGAAATTTTCATAAATTTGTTTACCTAAATAAGAAGTGATTATAAGACTTCTTCATTGAATTATTTCTTGATTTATGAATTTCAATCATAAACACTAGACAATTTACAGAGACTAGGTGCATATACTTTCTTCTGATGAGCCTGATACTTTTTCATTATTCTGTAAATATGCAACTACAGAGCTCATTCGACACGTCTCACCAGCATCTACAAAACGAAACAAGAGTTTTTATAATATAGCCTTATTTTCAAACTCTTGAGTAGAATTAAATCAAAAGCCTGACTGTACAGATTTGGTCTATGAAGAAAACATTAGCTTGAAATTTTGCTTATTCAGGTTCTCAGTGATCCTTTGCTCGTAGTTCAACCACTATCCAATGACGATAGTCTCAAACAATAGAAGTAGTTTGATTGTTGAATATGTACTCGCGTGATATTTACTTGAGTTATACCGTATTATCTTTTGGCAATTACACGATAAATGATATTTGATTAATATAACGCATTCATAATTAACAACTAATAGAGTAAAATTATTCAATATTTTACTGAAAAATAAATATAGCAAATGAGCATATTTATAATTATATTAAGACAGAATATTGTTTTGGCATAAGATTTAATTTCATCAGTTTTAGCTAATTTACTAACAATAAATAAATCCATGAGATCTTCTGATACTGTCATACCATAACGAATAAGTAATAATTGAAAATCTGCATGAAATATAATTTGATGCTGTTGAAAATGTTTCATTAATGGTTTTTTAGTAATTGAATCATTTTCTTTAATTAATAATAATATATTATATGTTATATGTCGTATAGAATCTAATGAATTATCAGAATCAATTATATTAAGTTCACGTTTAAATTCAAGATAAATATCATTTTTCCAACCACCTTATTCAACTAATAAATGTAATTGAATGATCAACTTTTCGTTGAACTTTTTCTTTTACTATTTTAGTATTTTTTTTTATTTCGATCACTTAATATATTTGTTTGAATAACTTGACATCGACACATATTTTGACTAAGTGCTGCTAATTCAAATTGTATATTAGTTAATTGTTTACGATCAAGTATATTAATTAAAAATTGTTCTTGAATGATAGTTTTATATTCACTTGATTGATTTTTAAGTATATCTTCATTAAGATACTAAATTAAAATAAATAATATACATGTTTTTTTTTCAATCTATTTAATAGAAAATTATTTATATCTTGTAGAAAAAAAAACTTTAGTTGATTGTATTATTTGTTCAATAGTAAGAAAACCATGACGTAGAATATGTTTATAAATAATATTAAATTTTTCATTTTCAATATTTGTTTGATATTGATTAAGAATTTCTCTTGTATTAATTTCATCAATATAACCTTCTTTTTGAATTAATTTAATCATCATAAAACAAAAAAAGAAATATAGCTTGAACTTCATGTGTAGTTACTTTTTAATTCATAACATTGATTCATTGTATAAATATTAGAAAGAGATTGTGAAATAATTTTTGAACGACATAATTCATTGACTATATCTCTGAATAGAATAATTTCTTCATTGTAATATTAATTGAAAAAGTTGTTAGCGCAATCCTTTAGAGATTAAATTGAGAAACATGATTTAGTTTTTCTCTTGCTGATCAAAGCAAATTCATATATTATAATGAAACGTTTGAAGTCCTTTTCTCGATGGTAATAGTAGCTACCAAGACTCTAAAAATACATTTGTATAACTATGTTTTATAAAATAAAAGGAAGTCAACTCATAATCGACATGGTATTGGATATGATTCAAGATATCTATTCAGATCGTCAACTGTTAATGATGCTTGTTGTTTACGTATGTTTAATAATAATTTAATAACTATCAATTCTTTTTCAATTAATAATTGTGCTTTATAAACAGTCAAAGGTTTAAATCTATTGAATAATTGTCTTAATTGTTCATTGATCATAGTTCGATGATTAAAATGAAGAATATATAATCAAATATAGTTATTATGATTGTTTGTTCTATTTTATGTCAAAGAACAGAATCATGAGTATACATAGATATATTTCGAGTATAGCAATCAAATATGGATTGAAGTGTAAGACTAGTTTCTCATAAAATGTAATCTTACCATTAAAACAAATAGATAATCTCAAATTGATACTAATTTTCAAATCTACGTTTAAAAAAATCAGAAATTTAATATATTGAAAATCTAGATTAAAGTCCATCAAATTGGTCCCGAAATTTTCATATGGGTCCAAAAATTTTGAAATCGACATCCTGTAAAAGGCATAAGATTGTGGATGATGAGAACAGTATGGCATTAGAAACAAAAGAAGAATCACTGTGATCGTGCTTGTAAAAAGACTAGTATTACTAAGATAACATTTTTCGTTTTCGATATTTCTCATAGGTTTCTCTTCGTTAAAAGTCCACAGTTAGATGTTTAGTAAAACTAGTTATAATTTTAGGTTTACCTCTGCTAAGATTTACTCCTTTACTTTTACAATCAGTATTTTGTTGATCGATATTCAAAGTTAAAGAATTCTTATTAAATTTTTCTTGTATATTTTCTATATATATATATATATCAATTGATGATGCAATTGATCATTTGTATCTAATATTTGTTTTGTTCATCAGTATAAATTTTGAGAACTTCTTCTGTTGATAAATTATAATCCGTATTGGATAATAGAATTTCATTTACTTTCTCAAAACGAATAAAGATTACTTATAGAATAAAGATTAATCAGTGTGTCTAAATTTTAGAATTAAAATTTGTTTTTTTTCTTACCTCTAATTTCAAGAAAATGTCATTTGTTCTAAAAGAAAAATATGTTACCTCATAAAGGCAAACTTAGTGAATGATTCTTTTAAGCAGAAAAAATCTATTTTTGCAAACATCATGATTTCTGTTATATGTGACTCAATCCGAAAGAGATTGTCATATTCAGACACTTGAAAGTATTATACAAAGTGGCCAATTTCAGAAGCATGTTGTAGGGGATGGAAAAATATCTCCCTCCTTAAAATACTTTGTAATATATACAGGGTGTCCCATAAGTAACAAGACAAGGAAAAAAAGTTTGAATATCTCCATTAGGGCTCGACCAAATGGGCTCAATTTTTTATCAAGGATAGAGGCATCTGCACACTCCAAATCCATACGAACAAGGTGAATGAGAACCTTTGTTAAGTATCACTATTGACCTCAACAATAAAATTTTTACTTTTTCACAGACAGGAAAATAAAAAAATATACTTAACAAAGGTCCTCACTAAGCTTGTCTGTATGGATTTGAAGTATAAGCATGCCTCTATTTTTGGTAAAAAAATCAGCTCGGTTGCTCGAGCCGTAATGGAAATATTTAATTTTCTTTTCGATAAAGTGACTTTTGCACTATCCTGTATATTGGTTTTTTCTTACCAGTGACAAAGCAAAAATTTTATTGTTGAGGTCACTAGCGATACTTAACAAAGGTTCTCATTCACCTTGTTCGTATGGATTTGGAGTGTGCAGATGCCTCTATCCTTGATAAAAAATTGAGCCCATTTGGTCGAGCCCTAATGGAGATATTCAAACTTTTTTTCCTTGTCTTGTTACTTATGGGACACCCTGTATATATAACCTGCGTGTAAAAAGTCTTTGCACAAAATGTTCGTTCACTTTTTGACCACTTGAAAACAACTAGTGAAGACCAAACGTAGTTAGTTGGAATCAGAATTTTGTGCTCTATCAGAATATATACTTGGAATTTTTTTATAACCTAAGGCTGGTTCACTGCAAGCAAATGTTTGAAGGGACCGAAATAATTATCCGTACAAAGCAAAATACGTTTTTTTTGCAATCCGCTACTTTTCCAGATAATACTTAAGCGCGGTTTTAATTAGGCGTTTTTGTAGAGCATTCAATTCTGTACAAAACTGGGTATTATAATAGAGTAGAACTAAAAACTATCAAAAGTTACAGATGTTTTCCTAGGTGTTACTTTCAACGTAAAACAGTTTTTGTCAAAAAATCGATTTTTGGAAATCCACCTGTTCGAATGTAGTCGATTTCGAGCCAATTTGACGATTTATAAAAAGATGAGTGGATATGTGTTTTGCAGAGAAAATTTTTCTCTACAAACTGCCATATGAACAGACGTTTCATTTGTTCAATTAACTAAGCTTTAACCAAAATACAAAATTGGCAGAAATAGGATTCTGTACAAACTACATTTTCGGCTAATTCAAGTATTTGCTCAGAGTGAATCAGCCTTAGGTTAGAAAAAAATTCCAAGTATATATTCTGATAGAGCACAAAATTCTGAGTCCAACTAACTACTTTTGGTCTTCACTAGTTGTTTTCAAGTGGTCAAATAGTGAACGAACATTTTGTGCAAAGACTTTTTACACGCAGGTTATATCATAACTAACTGTTAGAAATTTGTTCATCATTTTGAATAAGATTATCTTTATTACGAAACCATTCATATTTATGTTGATGAATTAAAGAATTATATGATAGTAATGTAAGTAAAATTGCAAGTACACTAATATCAATTAGTTCTATTTCTTCAAGATAATCAAGTTCAATATGAGTAAAATATTCTATACCTAAATCTGAAATCATATCTAGAAATTTTTCAATTAATATGGATGAAAGAATAAGTTTTTGTAAATTTTCAATGCATTTCAAAAACGTTTTTTGTCAATAATTAATAGGTTAATGAAATGAACCAAGCAGAGTTTTACATTCAATTCTATAAAAAATATTTGATTTTCTAATTAAGAGAAACAAACAAAACTTTTTAAATCTATAGTAATTTACATTTGTTGTTTTGAAAGAATAATTGTAGAAAATTCTTCAAAATTAATTTCATTATTCATTGGTTTTAATAAAGTTTTAAAAACTGTTCTTGTAAAATAATATCATGTATTGTAATTAAAGATAAAAGTTCATGTTCATATTCTGGATCAGTATAATCAACAAGAATAGAAGCTTGTTTATAAGTTAAATAACAACCAAGTTTACAAACATTTTCATTAATAATTTTATGAATATTATCATTATTCTTTCGTTGTTTAATTGTTAAATATTGGTTTTGTTGATCAGAATTTTTAAAATTTTCCATAGATATACAATAAATACCTAATTCTATTATACGAAGAAAAAAAAATTGTTTATTTATTTTCTTTTCATGGTTTGCTAAAAGACTTTTTGGAAATTTTGTATATTCCTACAATGTATTAGAATTAGTTCTTAACCAAGAGAAAATGCTAATGATATCAAACAAAAGCTTGTCGAAATTGAGATTTAACATTACTCAACAGTTCATAGAATAACGATGAACTACAGCATGAGCAAAAGTTCTAAAATTTCCAGACATATAATTAATGTCTATCGATAGTCAAACATAGAGTTTTCTTTGTTGATCATTATGATAAACAAGTTTTTTCAATTCCATAAATAGCAATGCTAAGATTTTACTATCTCATTGATTTTCTTTTCTTTTTGTAGCTATAGATAAAGTTTTACTACAAAGTTCTTAGAATTTCTTGAGTATCGGTTTTTTTTTGTTTAAATATTTGTTTTCTAACCTAATGTATCATGAAGTCTGATTAGAAAATTATTGTAGATTCCATCAAGTATATATTCATTAATAAAAATTTTTGTTTCAATTAATGTTTTAACTATATTTTCATCTATTAAACCCATGCAATAGAATATTTTACCATAATTTGGATCAAGATTAAAATAATGAATAAATTCTAAAAATAGATGCATACATTTTCATTTTTATTTATTTATTATTATGAATATTTAAACATTTACCATGAATAGATAATGATGATAATTTTTTTGTTGATTCAATAAAACTTTTTTGTAATAAAATTTCGACATTCATCATTATTTAATATAGAATTAATATAAATTTCTTTGATTGTCATTGTACATTTTGTTAAATATTCAATTAAATCATCTTCACACATAATTAAAGTAATTTCAGCAAGTAAATCAATATCACGTTTATGAAAAAATGATATAGAATTCAAAATGTTTTAATAAAAATGATTTTTTTAATAATAATATCTTATTTAGATAAAACAAGAAGTTCAATTGTTAATATAAGACTTAATATTATTAAATCATCAAATATATCAATAGTTGATAATAAAACGTAGAATTTTATTAAATTCATTAAGAAATGGTATAAGTATTATACTATTGAAATGTTCACCAATCATTTTAAGTACAACACGTGTTATACAACTATGTAAATTTAAATGATTTTGAATTTTTTTACAAATCTTTTTCTTTTTTTTAAAGTTTATTTAAATAGAAAAATTAATTAAAAAAAGTTTGTTTATTTACTTTATTTCATCGTTCATCAACATCTTCTTTTACATGAAAATCAATATAGAATTGATCTAATGTTTCTGATGTAATTGTATTCTTCGAAATTAATGCATCAAAATTTTCCGGTAATAATAATATTTGAGACATAATAACATGCAAATCATTTAGTGTAATTGGTTTTATTTTGGATCTTTTGGTAAATTGTAATAAGTAGGGTTTTCTAAGAGTTGCCATTACTTGAGTAGTAGACACTATTTTAAATCAATAAGAAAGTGAATGATAAAACGTTATTGATTTATTGTAATTGACAAGACATAATTTTTGGTGTACAAACGTGAGTATGAGTTCTGATCTTCTCTTCATCTACACTCACTCACGCCATGGAAATATCACTTTTTTCAATATGTATCTAGTTTCAATATTCTTCTCTTTCGACTTTTGTACGATCAGTTATGATGTCGGTCAGGATCTTTAGAGAGGAAGGTTCAAATTTCTAACTTGTAATACTTTAGTAATCCTTTTAGATCATGTTTCACAAAAAGATCTTTATGTTTTGATCGAATAGATCGAAGTCATTGTACTAATTCTACAAGTTATTAAGATTTAAGAATATTTCGTATACATTTCAAATATAATATTATAACATTAATTGATGTCTACTGATGAACTTTACTATTGGCTATTGATATATATTATTCTTTTATTAGATGTTACAGACAGTATTCTGTTCATTATCGATAGAATCTAAAGATCAACTAAAATTTATCATAGCTGATATAAAAATCGATATCGAATAACATTAATAGAAATCTTTGACAAATTTCTAACATAGAAGCAAATATTCGATCACTATTATGAGCATACTAAATTCAAATTCTTGAATTTTAATTTATTCTCTATTTAACTTACTAAAAGCATTTAATTTTTGATAATTGCCTTATAGCACCTTCACGTACAACATATTTAATCATATCATCTATTTGTTTTGATGTTAATATTGATGTGAATTGGCATTATCATTTTTAACCAAATGTTTTATAGTCTGTGCTAGTATTAATTTAATATTATAATCAACATTTTCATCTATTAAATCCGGACAAATTTGCTCTAATATGTACTCTGGTAGACGATACTTTCGTGCAATATCTCTTAACTTACTTGATATTCGTAAATGAAATCTCTGGTCTATTTGATAACCATCATGAAGTGTTTCTATGTTTTGTTTCTCGTCAAAGTCCTTACAGTTTTTGCACAAATCTTCTTCAATTTCACTTTTACTATGACACTTTTTTAAGTAGATGGAGAAAAGAAAAGATATTCCACAAAATAAAAAGTAAACACATAAATCAATCATTACTTATCTTATTAGAATGTCACTTTCATTGGTTTTTATAATAATCAATTGAATAAAATCAACAATAGAATAGTACTTGAATTATGCAGCATAAATTCTATTGATTGACGCGTGTCATAAACATTGTTAAGATATCTTGTCTTTTTTATTCTATCTAAAATATTAGAAATAATATGAAACGAAGACAACAACTAACATGATCGATATATAATAAGTCAGAAGTTTCTGTTTATAGACAATTTCTTCGTGTGAAGAGGTGATATCTAATATTATATGAATAATGCAATCAACACATACATTTTTCTGTATAGCTCCATTATTCAAAGATTGGCAAGATCTTAACACGGAAAATTATATCACTATTTATGAGCCTTCGATTGATCTAATTAGTCACAAGTTGAAGCTTTTGCGAACTTAAATATAATATTCTTTTTGTCAACTTCTAAGACTGGGGAACAATATTTGCAGAATACATTAATTTGACTTTTCAATTATTGGTGTCAGATCGTCGAGAAAAAACAACAACACGGCTAATGGCCTATAAACATTATAGGACTATTCAATTAAACTAATTAATTGGTTAAGATTTTTACGTAAGTTATATTTACCTATCCTACCATGTTAAAAAAATCTACTGTTCTATAGATGTTTTTCTAAAAATTTTTTGGAAATCCGGGAGTTTCATACAAATAAATAAAGCGTTTCGATGGGCTAGATCTTTTAGGATAGACCTATGTACGAAGTACCAAATTTTGACAAAGCCAAGTCTGCTATTGGTCGTTCAGTAATAGGTTTATTGATGAAAGCTAATGTCTTTCTTGATTCGAATGTTTTAGTAATAAAAACAAGGCATCTAATTACGATTGTTAAAAAGCACTAGTCAGCTTTTCAGATTTTTGCTTCGTCCGTTGGCTTCCTAGTGATTACGACTATTAGTGTCGAGCGGTGAACATGGATTGGTATGACGTAGTTTCATTCGCCGACAACGGCAATCGACACACACAGCGTTAAAAAAACAATGTATACTTTTTGCAAACAGCACACATTTTGGCGCATAGAGCTAGTTTTTTTTTCTATTGATTCTGACTCATCTGGTAAGAGATCTACTAGGCGGAATCTATTTAAACTACGTATAATGAAAAGAATGAAGAAACATCATCAGGTTATATCGGAATCTGTCCAATCATGTTAACTTGTTTCATATAGTTCGTGCTTTCTTTTCTCTTAATAAAGACAGTAAAAATAACAGATTTGGCATAAATATTTCAGTAATGAAATGAAATATGTTTTTATCTCAACTGTAGTATCGTATGTAGTTCAACAATCCTTTGATATAGAAAACTTTCACATCTTATTAAAATTACCAGACGATGAGCTACAGATACGATTCAACGAAATTATTTACATATGATGCCAGCAACATGATCTATTTCGGTTTACAACTGAGTCATGATAAAAAGCAACATTAGATATTAATAGATTTTTTATTCATTTTTGTTTCCCAATTTTTATATAAACTGACGACACGAGTACATGTTCTCAATAGTCAAATAGAATTAAAAAATATAGATAGGTATTCCTATTAGTTCCTCATCTACGTAGTTATTCTAATAGGAAAGAAGACTTCGCTTTAGCTTTTCTACAAAGCGACAGAGAGATTTAATTTTTCAATTTCATAAATTATAAATCTAACCAAATATTGTTTTTATACTCACGCTTTTATGCTGAATCAAAATGAAATGCTTGCATACAGATCTATAAAATAAGAGATTAGTTTTGTTACCTTTTTAACTTGTAGAGTCATCGAATAAAAATAGAAATGAGCTATTATTAACAAGTTGATCGAACTTTAGGACAACACGTAATGTGATCAAAAGATATTATTATTCATTTTCGTATTAAGTATACTGTACTTCAAATACATAGACGTCCGAATAATGAAGCGAAAGCGTAAGTGCAATGTCAAGAAAGAAGAAAAAACAGAAACCGAATAACATTTCACGGCTTTTATTCAGCTCCTCTCTTTTCCTTTTTAATGTGAGGATTTTGAGCAAATATTTTTTCCAATTACTTCCTATTAAGAAATTCATTCATGGTCAAGATGTTATTACTACGATTGATATACATTAAAAGTATATACGATGTAACAGATATTTGGTTTAGACGTTTGTACGCTAATGTTGGTCAAAAACGCATATGAACAAAAACGAAGATCAACAACAAGAATGTTATGAAGTTCTTTTTTGCTCTCGATCTTGATGTGATTCTTTTCCCACCCGACCATATAATTTCAACAATATGCAAATATAGTCTCATAATCAAATAAATAAATAAAGAAGAAGAAAAGACATCGATTCTTTATCAAAAAATTCATCTACAGAGCAAAAATAAAATTTGAAAAGATTTTTGGTGTATTTAATGACTGCTATAAAACGAAAAGCGAATTACATGGCGTTGAGAAAAGCTTATGTGACGTTTGTTCACTTGTACAACGAAACTCGTGCACCAATCATGAAAAGTAATTTAAAAAAAAAACATATTGAATGTTATGCCCATTTCGGATTGTGAAATAAAAATAATACAGATTTTCATGTAATTACATCATACGAGAGTATTTATGCTTTTGTAGTCGAAATTTCAGTGTAGAAATCTTTTTTTTCGTAATGAATGCCTTTTTTTGATTGTTTGTTATGACTGGTAGTTACGATCAAACAGTACAAAATATTGAACTATGAAGCTCTGACAATGCTGCGGGTCGAAGTGGGTATAGAGGAAAGCATTTTTGCATCTTGATTAATTGAATCATATACAAAATAAAATAAGAAAATCTTAGGGTCGTTTTCATATCATATTCAGGACCAGATTATGGTTGTCGTTGATGCCTACTTCTTGAATCATATTATGTTGACAATTCGCTATTAAAGTCGGCTGTTAATATGAGCATCCGTTTGAAAATTAGCAAACAGAGTTAACTAATGAAGGAGACTTATACTAAGAGGCGTGTTTTTGAAACCTAATTTCTGATGATAGAAAAAATCATTCGATATATGATTATTATTGCACATGTGTACGACAGTTATTCTTCAACAGTTGTATTAATGTAATACGTTGCAATATATATTCATATTTAGTTTGATACAGTTGTGTGTGTGTGTCTATTTGTGGAATTGATCTGGCCCAATGCTTTACTCACGCAC